TATTTCTAAATTTTATATAGTTTTTTTGTTGTTGTTATTATTTCCCAGCAATCGGAATTATAAGACTTACTGTGAACTTTATATTGAGCGCTGCTTAATTTTATTAAAGATGTAATTAGAAGAGAATCCATTAATTGTTATTATCTGAAATTTTGTTTTTATTTTCATACTGGTGTATTAGAAGGTAACCGTACGGTAATTTTCTAATTATATATTTTTATGATTGTCAACGAAACTGTGTTAAGAAATTAAAAATTATGCTTCTAATGTACTAGAAATTACAATAAACAACTAGAATTCTTAATAGTTTAACTTTTAGAATCTTGTAGGAAAAGCAAACAAAACATGTCGTCCCCGAATGACATCCGTATACTCAGCACTTTTGGTGGATTATGTCCATGGACGAAATTCATAGCTAAAGGATTAATATATAAATTTTTAAACATGTAACATAAAACCTGAAGCACTTTTAACTCTGATCAGCTGAAGTTCATTGGATTTTATTTTACCTCATAAATTCATGAATTCATTATATAATTGAATATTAATAATTTTGCTGTATCAAAGGTATACTCTCACGTTCGCTCTAAAAACGCAATATTCCAGCATGTTTTTGAAACCGTTTTATGCATCTATTATCCCGCTAAGCAGCTAGAAATAATAACCGTATTATCGAATCGCGATCTAGAGATCAACAAGGTCTAAGAAATCGACATCGCAAATCGCAGCCGACATTTGCATCGGCGAACAGATGCATGACGGTAGCTCCCGTCGAATGAGCGCGGCCCGTCCCGATATCTCGGCGATATCATCGTCCTCAAAGCGTCGATACGAGACAGACCAGTGCCAGGGAATTATCTAACATCATCAAAAAGTCGACAAGTTCTGTCTCGACAACCATTCCGGCAAAATGCGCCATCTTGACAGGCGACTTCGAGCGAGAGGGCAAAACAAACATCGCACGACACAAGGCGATGGTAAAAAATGAACTAAAAACAATGAACACGAGAAAAAAATAATAACCGTCCGCGATGTTTCCTTCTCTCTTCGACTCGATGCCTTTGTTACACGCGGCCGAGTGCATGCCGTGTTTGTTTTGTTAGTAGTTTTGCTATATGGATGCATTAGACTGTACTCCCGACGGTACAACCGTGCATTATTTTTGCATAATTCAGAATGCAGACCCATTGCACGAATAATAATACGAGCTGCCATTGGTCATCGAGAAACCTATACGTATGACGAGTGAAGGAAAGGGCACCTTTTTGATCTTCAGACAATGTACGACTACACGATGGTAAAGGACTTAAGAATAACTTAAATTGTAATAGAACAGAAATATTTCAAAATTTTAGATACGTGGGTTCACTGATACTTCTTCAGATTTCGTAAAACTTCTTCAAATTTAATAATTTCTGGAAAATTCTCAATATATTCAAATAAATTTGATCTTGCTACTGAAAATAAATATAATATCACTGCCAAACTATTTTTTTTTTTTTTTTAACAGCAATCAGAACCTTACGTCCTGTGAGCTGTTGGGTTGAAACTTCTCCTTACTTCCTATTTTTTAGATGGTTACCATTTTAGATGGTTACATATTTGATGATTTTGTTATTAGATTAATCTAATAGGGCTGACTTTTTATTGGTGCAGCAATGCTGGGCAAGGTCTATTTTCACTTGAAATTGCTATCTATATTTCCAAGTGAAAATCGTTGTCACTGCTGCCTGACAACAGGCTGCTCAAAGTGGGTATCGAACCCGGACCTCTCAAGTCCCGTCGCTCTTAACCGCTTACCTACGGCGAGCCAACTAAAAATGTGATTCAATACTTTGTTGGTGTTAGCAGACCTTCTAGTAATAATAAATAGTATTCTGTCTGAAGGCAGATCCATGTTGTTTTGAGCACCACAAAGTCAATGAATTCCCTTTCTTTTTTCTGTTACACTTATCAGTAGTAAATTTTGGTTTGATTATCAAAGAAGCATTTTGTCAGAAATTAGGTGTCATATACATTTCGTAAAAAGACTAATAATGATAGGTATATGAATTTTATTATAATGTATAAATTCAGAAAAATGTTTTCTTTTAAGACAATACTGTTGCTAAAAGTCATAAATAATGCTATTCAAAAACTGTATGTCAATTTGAATTATTCACTTTCCTTGAATACTTATTTTTGCTTGTAAATAAAATATAAATCCTCCTATCTTGTATAAGTACATGAACAAGTAACGTATCCTGAATTGACAACTAAAGTAAAATTTAGTAATACTCTTCATTTATTTAGTGAAGACAATTGTTCGATCTTCGGTCAACGTACGATTGGTTAATTTAATTTTTTTTTTCAAATATCAAAATTACAAAAGAATAATTTTTTTTTAAATATATAAACTGCCTGTCGCCGCAAAAACACAGCCACAAGTGTATGTTCCCAAGTTGGTAAAACTTATTGGAATTCGTAATTGCAGTTAAGCGCAGATTCTGTATAGCTTCGGGGACTGAATCTTTGTAACAAATATTATAATTAGCTTGCTGAAACGTATAAAGCACGTATCAGACATGTTTTGATATTACTCAGCAATATCTCAGCCACTGACTAATTTAGCAGATAACCATAAAATTATCTCAATCTTGAAAATGTAATTGGAATACTTTGTTGCTATAACCAGTAAAAGTTTTATTAAAAAATCTATTATTTAATCCATAAGGCCAAAAATGTATAAATTACATGATACATAAGTTATTATTCAGAGCATTTCAAAACACGACATTTTTCCCAAAATCATCACCAGGCTTTCGCGTGCTGAACATTGTATCCAATTCTCTGTTTTATTAATGTATATGAAATTATCAAAGGTGCCTAAGGACATCCCTTGCAATTTTGTATTGTCGGACTTAAATTATTAATAAACATGAAAACGTATAAAATTCTAAAGCAGTTTCTTACAATTGCCCGCAAAATATATTTTGCATGACATTTAATGCAAGGTTTTGCACGAATTCGGCAAACGCGTCTCGGGATAAAATTTTGAAAAACGATTACGAACTTGGCAATAAAACACGTTTGAAGACACCACTTTTATATTTATAAAACCGCAGAAGAGGATGAAATATATAATTTGTAGTGCGTTGAACCAATTTGAGTCTACGGAACAATATGGATCGTTGTAATTCATATGCTGTGCTAAACGAATAGGATAGATGTAATTTTTAGCAAAAAACACAGTGTGCAGCGACTTAATAAAATCTTGTGATAAAATTTGTTTTTGTAGAAAGTACGAATACGTGATTATTCTTATAATCCACAAGAAGCCATTCTATTTTTTTCCATTTAATATCTTGTATCATTATTATCCATTTTGTTCAAATATCTAACCGTTGATTTGCATGCAATATCCGCTTATTTTGCGATCGGCAAACATACAGACCACACGTTTTATAAATATTTCTTTCGCATGGTAAAAGACCAGACAATTTTTCTATTGTTTGGCAAGACAATAGTACATGGCAAATGAAGTAGAGAACATGAAATTGATCCGAAACTCTAACAGACTTGAAATTATTGACAAATGAAGAATGAAGAGTGGTGACTCAGGAGATATAGAATAGGTACTCGAATACCAACTCGATATTTGATATGCACTTCATTCGGGAAATCTTTCGCTAGGGGATATTTCGTTCTGAAGGAAAAGGATTCATTCATAATAATTAAATTTTCATAATAGTCCGAAAGATACTTCAAAGAGTACCTATTGGCCACTGACATTGAGATGTTTTCAATAATAATATTACTCTGTCTCTGCAATTCTTTTACTAAAAATCAAACATATTATGGCCTTAAATGTCTAAAGTTTTTTTTAACTCTGTTTTATTCAGCAATCAGAAATACATAAAATTCCTATAAGCTAAATTGACAATAATTGAGAGCGATGTCTAACAATAAGAATAACTCCAATGAGATCTTCTTAGTTTAACCATTTAAAAGATAATGATATATTGAAGCTAATCTAAGACTAAATGTAAAGGCCATTGACGTTTTATCTCTTACCCATTACGCCAATTTGAATTCGTTCGTTGATCCTATTGTGTTATGTTGATGTTGATTTGTGATTTGAATGTTGTGTTTGTTTAATTTTCCTTAATTTATTTGAATGTTAATTATGCACCGTTTTCATGTTGAGATCGCTGTGAATGGTTTCATTTGTAACGTACCACGGAGAATTAAGTATTGTACGTAAAATTTTTGACTGAGTTCTCTGGATTATAGCTATATTCGATTTGTAAGGACATCCCCAGAGCTCAATTCCATAGGTCCAGATTGGTTTAATGATTGATTTATATAGCAGCAACTTATTTTCAACAGAAGCTTAGACCTTTTACGCAGTAGCCAATTAAATTCTTTCATTTTGATCATTATTTGCTGCTTTTTTGTTTTTATATGGCTTTTCCAAGTAAGTCTGCTGTCTAAATGAGACCAAGATATGTCACTATGTTTAAAGTTCTAATAGTTTAAATGTTTAAAGTGAAAAAATATTCTCATTCATTCATTTTTTGTAATGACAATTAGAATACAGTAAATTCTATGAGCTATTTGGCTTATATATCATTATTTACACACATACACACACATATAAATTATTGTGATAAATATTTTGTCGATAGTTGGATAATCACTCTAATAAGTGAATTCACCAATGTTCATATATGCAAGATTTGGTAGTGCTAAAGGTCTTCAATATTACTTTACTTTAGTCTTCTTCAAATGGCACATCAGCAAATTTTTCGTAATATTAAAATATCAGAGCGAATGTCAATCCAGTGATTGGATGTCCGTGTATGATGGTATCAGTATTGAACATATTGATCTAAAATTATCTACTAAAATTTATATCAGCTGTATCTCGAAGCACAATTTACGTTTTAAAAAATCCATCTCATCACAATTCATTCTAATTATTACCTATCGATTTTAATGGGTCTTATTCCTTATTTCAGCTGTTTACCAGCGCCGTTTCAAACGCGAGCGACGCCTACGCTTGCGCGTGCAGGAGCGTCTGGACCAAGAAGCCAAACGCCGTGCGCAACTCGAAGAAGCGATCCGCACGGGCGGCGGCGTCATTCCCACATCCGCCGCCCAGAACGTGTCTGCGGCGCAGGCGAACAGCGACGCGCTACGGGCACACAACGGTAAGATTTTGGCCGAATCGTAGAAATAGATATAGATATTAACCCTAGAATGGTTTGCGGTAAAATTTATAATATACTAGCTGACCTGGCAAACGTTGTTTTTGCTAAGTTAAGTAGGTATATTCTAAACAATTTCTAGAGAATCAATTATTAATACTATAAGTGTATAAGGATGTGTTGTTTGAATACTATATACAATGAGGTATTATAAAACAATAAACCCCATTAGTTTTGTCTATATTTGGTCAATACAATCAAACTGGAAGTTTTATACACTTTAGAAAAATAGTATAATCCATCCAAGTCTTTTTTGGTCTTTCGACTTATTGATTACGTTTTCAAGTCTTTCAGATTCTTTTGAATTCTTTTGTGTATAATTGTAA